TAATGAATAATGCCAGAAGATTGTAAGAACGGCACAGAAAAGTGTAGGATGTAGCCCGATATGATCTAGTATGACAGCGAATGGGCTGTGTAATAAATTAGATACTTAACGGGTGATACAAACGGATATGGAAACGTAGTTATAGATACGGTATCTTAGACGTTTGCAATTAATTATGCCAGTCTGAGTTCCACCATGGATTAATTATTGTTCTTTTTTATTATTTATTTTTTAAGCTAGATTAGTTAAGCCAGTTAATATCCGTTGGAGAATAAATAAATAAATAAAATAAATAAATAAATATGCCAGACGGAATTCCACCATGGATAGAATGAGAAATAATGCCAGCAGTAGATACTTTTTATATTATTGTGTAAACTGATGGCTTAACATTTTATTCGGACTCTCTTTTCATAAGAAACCTTTGCAATAAAATAATCCTTTTGCCTTGAAATAATTCTGCAAGCAGTTCTTCAACTAAACCCCAAAGCTTTGGTTCATTTTTTCGCCTGAACCCTGGAGGCTTTGGACTTTCAAGCATAGATTTGCACGACTGACTCTATGTAAAGGATATATATGGGGTAGCTCACACAGCAATGAGTATTAAAGCCAGGCTATCATCCATTTCCATCATAGACCAAGACCAAGGCTTCCAGAGAGAGAGCAAGATGAAAGCCTATTCCATGGTATAAAGTATATTAAAAAGTAAAATGAAATTGATGCTAACATATGTTGCCTGCTGGCCTATGGCTTTTTAGTATATTTTCTCATTTCTTTACTTTTCCACTCAAACACACACACACACACACGTGCAGTCACATGTAAGGCGGGGGAGGGCGACACATTGCTCCTTCTGCACATTACTCATACGCCCCAGTGGGCAAATTTATGAACTCGCCAGCGCACTTGAGGCGGCCCCCACACCGGCAAACGAGCAGCAGTAGCAGCAGCAAAAAAAAAAGGCCAACACACACTCGCACATACGACAAACAATCTCAAACACTCTCAAACATACAGCGAGCAGAGAGCCCCCGCCTGCCCGCACACCCACTAAAAATAAGTGCGTTTGTATGTCTTCGCATGGCGGCGGCAGGCAGTCGAGGAGTAAAAGTAAAGCAGCTTGTAAAATAAAATATGCCAAGGGTTAAAAAGTGTGCAGCATATAATTCATACTCGTACACATGCTCCTACATACGTACGTAAATATACACACTCATAACAGGGGGCCCCCAACATGGCCAAGGGTTAAGCAGACCAAAAAAAAAAAAAAAAAGTGGAGGCTAGGATGAGAGGGACAAGACAGGGCAGGCAGCCCCACAGTGAATGAGAGACCACAGAGCGAGAGAGAGCGGGAAAGTGCTTGGCAGTTTTTCCTGTAATAAGTAGATGAAAACCGGGAAATGCAGCAGCTGCTGTGAGAGACGCCACACTGCGAGAAATCTTCAAAAGAAATAGGAAAAAAAAGTTTTAAATAATTCTGCTAAAATTCACAAGCGCAACAATTTCTTTAGGGTTCCTCAATTCGAATTATGGTCCATAATTCAAAAGTTCTTACACATCTATTGCTAATATGCATCGATATTTATTAGTTTCAATCAGTTCTTTAAGTAAGTTCGAAGCTTTGGTTCCATTTTTCCTGAAACCTGAAGGTTTGATTCGTTTCCCCTTCAAATTTACCTGCAAGCAGTTCTTCAAATATTTCAGAAGCTTTGATCCTCTCCTTTACAAGCAAACCATCAAGCAGTGCCTAGCTGAAACCTAAAGATTTGCCTCCTGTTTGCCCTCCTAAACCTGAAAAGTTTTCCACTGAAATAAAATGTTTGTTGTTCGCTGCTCAAGCAAATGATCAAATAAATGAAAATACGAAATTGTATAATTTATTTATACTCAACTTTCCGCACCGAAAAAGTCGCCAGTTAAATTCAAGAAGCCGACACATTATCTAGTCAAACCAACGACGGCCAAAGAGCTAAACTCTCAGTCGGATGGGGGCGGTATGCCACGGACAAATGACAACCACTCAACCACTTTGGTGACCATTTTGTGTTAGTAAAATGCCTTTTCCGGTCACATGTGCCACATATACTCGTATACCCTCCCTCCCTCGCGTCTCCATAAATGAACTGCTAAAATGCCAAACAAAAGTACGAAACGGAAACGACCCCAAACCACCAAACTTATTTGTCTGCTGGGGATAGACACCGACTAACAAAGCACACAAAAAAAAAAAAAGGATAAGGACATGCCCAGAGCTCTCTATTATACAAAATGTACGTTTTTTTTTTTTGTGTTTGCAGCCAGCTTTGTGGCTTGTAATGTGGTTGTGGCCACAAAATACTGTTGGCCACTTAATTTTGTGGTTAACACGGCGAATAGAGAAAGAGAGACCACAGTTTTTGAGTGTGTGTGTGTTGTGTGCGGTTAATTGAAACTCGATTGTTTTGTGTTAAACCAGAAATGAGTCTATTTAGGCAGGCAACCAAAAATAGTTAAATGAAACTGAAACGATATTTTTGAAACAAAAGGAAGTCATAAAACGTTTGACTACGACTTCGGGCCCCATTAAAACGGCATCGAAATAAACATTTTATGCGTTTTGAAAGGCGAAACTTTCAAAAGCTTCCTAATGAACATGACAAATACTCGGACGAACCACGAACGGCGGTGGGGGGGGCATTTTTTATGAGAGCATCACCAAAAATGGTGATCGACAAATAAAACAAAAAAAAAACTAAAAAATAAGGCGTGGGGCCACAGCACAGCAGCACCAGCAACAGCAGCAGCAGAGGCCCAGACAGCTGTCAATATATGGTCGAAATATGTTAATTATCGATTGTTAATTCAAAGCGCCACAGATTAGTATAATTGTGTATTTCTCTTTCCACTCCAAAAAAGCGAAGCATTTAAATGCCATAAAGCTGGAGCAACATTTCGACTCTTGAATATTTTAACCAATTGCGTGGATTCGGTTGGTTTTTGTAACATTTTACGAGCGTTTTTAACGATCCTACAACGACACGAATAGAGTTATTTTCCCGGAGGTTATTACTTTTATAGGATTTCTGGGCATTCTTTTTGTTTTGGGGTTGAGTTGGTGTTTTTTTTTTTTTCGCCTTGTGATTTTGTCGTAAAACATTTTGCATATTAATTTTTGTGTAACTCAATAGCTACAGAAAATAAAGTTAAAATTAAAATAAAGATTGGTTTTAGGCTGGCCTAAAAATTGGGAATATATTTTTAAAAGTGATGCAAACATTTAAAAATACCTATTAAAGAAAAGTTTCCCTGACCCACCCCAAGAAAATATTTTTAAAAGTGATGCAAAATAGCTTTAAAAATAGCTTCTATTGTTTAAGATGTGTCCCTGCTATTAATTCCACAAAATAAACCCCAAGCTGGCCTAAAAATTGGGAATACATTTTTAAAAGTGATGTAAACATTTAAAAATAATTTACATTTTTAAGATAAGTTTCCCTGCTATTAATTCCACAAAATAAACCCCAAGCTGGCCTAAAAATTGGGAATATATTTTTAAAAGTGATGTAAACATTTAAAAATAGTTTCTATTTTTTAAGAAAAGTTTCCCTGCTATTAATTCCACAAAATAAACCCCCAGCGGGAAATTAGTCAAAGTCTTGCGGCAGACATTTCCTGTATTTATGCCTGTCTTACAGAACCGCAGTTAACTTTTCCCACCAGCTGTTTTCTGTTTACAGGATGGGAAACTCTCTCTCTGAAACGCGAAACTCTCTGAAAAATAACTCTCTTCTAATCTTTCTCTCTCTCTCTCTGTGGCCATGCTCTAAATCATATTTGTTTCAGCATATAACTTTTAACACATTTTCCCCTTCGTTTTCCTTAACACGAACATGCGCCACACGCCCACCTGCTCGTAAACAATTATGGCCGACGCCGCAGCGTTTCGCTCTCCAAAACATTCGTACAGATATCCGTACCGTACGTACATACATATATAGAAATAAAATCCCCACAAGCAACAACAACAACAACGAAAAATTACCCAAAATGGCTACACAGAAGCGTCGATCGTCCAATGGGGTAGCGTCGAAACGGTGTTGCCAGCATTGTGTGCGAGTTTTGTGAGACTGTGTGACCGTATAAACACCCATCCGTCCATGCGAGTGGCCATGCATGAGTATGGTTTTATTTATATTTTTGTGGCGCTTTTGTTGATGTGGAAAACATTTTTTTGGAAATAATTTATTGGATTTGTGGCTTACTCAGAGGCGTGTTTATCCATCAAGATTGTTGTTGTTTCCGCTCACGAGAAATACATGGTAGAAAATTCTGGAATGGATATACAATAAAATATTTAAGCTTGTATTGCGCATAGATCTTATGGTCAAAATTAAGCTACAACTAAAAAATAAATTTAAATTTAAATATTTTAAGACAAATTTCGCATTTTTCATTATAATTGTTTAAATTCTTTATTTAAGCTCACTAAAAAATTCCTTAAAAATTCCTATAAATAAAAAAAATTACTTTCTCCTGCTACTACTTTTTGGGTGGTACCTACTACTATTTGCCACAGCTACTACGAATTGGAATTTCTACTACATTTTTTGCAAGCATGCGCACGCTCAGCAAAGAGCATAAACTACAATAAAGCTCTCTCGCTCTCACTTTGGTTCTCTCTAGTATCTTCTCTGTTGCTTCTGGCGCTCTCCATCTCGCTCGCTGATTCTCTCAGCGTAAAGCGCATGGCTTTTTTGGGGGCCTCAGACAACAACAAAAGCACACTTGTTGAAAATGAAAACCGACCACAACAATGACAACAACTGAACTGGTTTTCTCACCCAAGAGACTCGACTCTCTCTCTCTCTCTCTTTCGCTCTCTGGAAACACTCGAAAAACTACTCACTAAAACTTTCAGTGAGAGAGATAGAGAGACTACGAAAGAGAGCAATAAGCGAGCGAGCCGAGCGAGTGAGTGAGCGAGAATGAATGTTGTTTATAGATTTTTAGTCGAATTTTGTTATTTCACGTTTAAAGTTCGTACGTGCGCTACGACCGGACTGTACGACCGGAGTGTTGCCACAGCCACAAAGCAAAATAAGCGTGTGTGCCCCGCGTGTCAATCGAATACCCCCAAAAAGCAAAAATAAATTAAAATAAATCCATAAAACATAAAAAAAAAATAAAATAAATATTTTTTAAATCATTTATTGTGTGATGTTTGTTCTATAACATGGTGCTTTATCATAATCTAGACTGAGTCTTAAACCAATACGTTATATACACGAGAAGAAACATATTCAAGAGAAATTTATTCTTTTGTTTGTTCGGTGGAAATCTTTGGAATAACACAACCCGCAACCCACACCCCTATGCCCTATACTCTATGAGAAATCGGTTCCAGAACACCAACTGTCAGAGGCGCAAAACCCAATCCAAACATACACGTACGTGCCTCATCATAAAACGCGCCCTCAACGAGTGGCATCCAAGCAAAACCACAAACCAAAAACGGCCAAGCCAAAGAAAAAATAATAAAAATCCATAAATAAAAAAATTAAAACACAACAAATAAAGAGGAAAAAAAATAAATATAAGAAATTAATTCCATTAGCTAAAAGTGTAAATTCTTTTTATATATATTATTATTGTATTTCGTGTAGCATTTTTGCATTATATATATATTTGGCGCGTAAAATACACAATACAAAAAGTGTTGAAAACAAAAATCAAAAATAAATGTAAAAGCGAGTTAAGGCAATTATAATACTTAATGAATTTATTACACAATTAAAGCAGAGCGTTAATAATAATCAGCAAAGGCAACAGCAACAGCAACAAATTAATATGCCACTGGCGTGAAAGTCACAATTCGTTCCCCTACCCCGCCGACGAATTGAATTATTAATGAAATCAAATTGCAAACAAAGGCCAGCGCACAGCAATAAAAATTGCAGATTATAATACAAGCAAAAAAAATACAACAAAAAATACAACAAATAATTAAATATAAATCAAGAAGAGCCGCGGTACGGCGAACGGTACGGCTTAATCAGCGAAAAGTCAGCGGAGCATCATCGGAGTTTAGGCAGCAGCACAAGCAAGCAGCGTTTGGAAATTTATTGCAAACGAGGCGCAGGCGCCGCTTTTCACACGAGTTGGCACCAGCAGCAGCAGCAGCAGCACACGCCATACATAAATTGGCATTTACCGTTAAGCGTGCTGCCTGCTTCCCTTGCCACTCTACCACTCTGCGGTCTGGCTGGCATACACACCGCACCGCACCGCACCACAACTGCACACCGCATCGCAGCGCACCATAGTGCTGCTGCACCACACACAACTCAACACCTCCAACACCGCCGAATCACCAAAGAAAAGCCGTCAAAGTGGATTTAACAAATTATAATAAAATGCTGCAATCCAGCAATCATCATTATTTAAGGCCGGATTATATGACAGCTGCAACAGCCCCAACAGCGGTAAGTTGTCGCATTCTTTTTTTTTTTTTTTCTTTTTTTGGGTTTTCTGTTTCGATTTCTGTTTTATTTCATATTTAATATCTGGGGGTGGGTGGGTGTTACATGAAGTTGAATTGTTTCGTAAGCGCATTGAATATTGAACTTTTGAGAGTATTTGGGATACGATAGAGAGAGAAAATTCAGAGCTCAATTCATCTTTATAATCATATGTATCCCCAGCTATCATATCATACATATTTACGCGCTTATATGCCAAATCCGATACATATATTCATCAGTAGTTTCCTATTTGTATCATACTTTCTGTTGATTCTGCCTTCTACCTTTCGATTAATCTTTGCATCCATAGCCTCAAAAAAAGATCCAAGAACTATCTACTAGACCTTCTATCTGTGTACTTAGCTACATATCTTTCTATTCGCATATTATTTCTTGGGATAACCTTCTACCTGTAGACCCATTTATTGGGAACTATCATTTATATCCCTCAATCTATGCCTTTCTCTGATGGTTTCCTCCAATCTGCATGCCATTCATCAAATTAAATACAAATGTCAATCACCCATAGCCGTTTTATGCTTCAAAACAAAAATCAACCTATCCATAGCCACCTACCCCACCTTAGCCACCCCTTTCTCAAGGCAAACCCCGCAACTCCGTCGTGTCTTGGGCCATGTGCTAACCGAAAAGCTACTGAATGAAACTGTTTACAATGGCTGGGCAGGGTAGGGGAGGGTGGTGCAAAAAAAGCAAATAACAAATTCACAATCGTGGAACAATAAATTTCCCAATATCTTCACATAAAACTTATTTATGTTTGCTCATATTAAACTATGTAAATCTTTGTAGCCTGCGGGGTCCCATGTGGGTCCCTGTTGCCGCTGCCGCTGCCAATGAGCCAGCCCCTTGTGCTGTGGAAGTGTTTAGAGAGTCTCGAAAGCACTGCCAGTCGTACCTCTGGAAATTGTATTCAAATTTATGGCGCGCCAAATTTGAATTTATAATGACAGAAAACAAATGCAATTTCTCGCACCGACTGAGACTGAGATGCACAACGCAATGCTGCTGCTGCTGCTGCTGCTGCGCTACAAGCTACGAGAGCGAGAAACTATGGCAGTTAATCAGAGTCAAAGTTGTGGCGGTCTCCTCCTGCTTCTCCTCCTGCAGCTCCTACCTCTGTGTACTATCTCTTTCGAACTGCCGTGAGAGCCATAAATTTCCATTTTAATTTGTAGAGTACATTTTGCTCATAAAGAACGGAAGCAGTTTATGGCAAACCAGCCACCGCGATGAGTACTCGTTGGACGAGTACGAGTACAAGTATGTACATTAATTAACTGTGTTATTTGGAATATTCATTTTTGGGCCTGTTGTGATTTAGTATGAGTGAAACATCATAATAGAGATTACCATATTTGTTGGGTGAAAGCTATTGAAAAGGCAACGAACGAACGAACAGAGGGCTATTAATTTACACAACACATATCTTAACGGCTTGGGAAATAATCAAGTGGTTCCGGTGCGATGATGATGTTGATGATGATGCTAACAGGTGCCTATAAATCATCTTTTTTTTATGGCTTACACCTAACAATGATTCAAATTGAATGAAAGCTAGTTCTAAAGGTTAATTTGAATTTATAAAATATTTAATGGGGATTATCATTAAATTAAAAATGGTTTAGAATCTTAGAATCTTTGTATTAAAATACAATGGAAACATTTACAGCTTTTGAATATTTAAATAATTCTATTTCGATTATTTCTGTGATAATTCTAGTTCCAAAAAACCCAAAGAACTTGTTCTCAAACAAATAAGCGAATTTGTAATAATAATAAACTGCCCTCAAACGATTCGTAAACCAGCACTTAAAAATAAAATGTCAATTCAATTAAATTTGTTATTTTATTTTTTTTCTACGTCAGAATTATCAAACGATTCATATTTTATTTAATTCTTTAACATTTTTAAAAACCATTTAAAAAGTCATTGAAACTTCAAGAAAATAAATCAAACCATACGAAAATTTCTTCAGGTGTATAAAATGCAAACGGACACTTTAAATACTTAATGCTGTGCCGCTAAATTATTTATATGGGATATTAAATTTATGACTTTGGGCTTAATAAATTTGCTTTTTGCGTGTCGGCTGGTCGGTCTGCCTGTCGAGTGGTGACTGGTGACTGACTAACCTTCTTCTTTTTGCTGTTGTGGTTCGTGTATCTAAGATACTATCTGCGAGTGTATAAATTATTCAATGATTAATGGCATCTGCTGATAATTAATTATAATAAAATCAAATAAACTAAGCTTGACAGCTGTCAGTGTCATCATTTGTGTATATCTTTTATGTGGCGCCTTAGAGCACAGACCGACAGACAGACAGACGGGAGAAGATCTCAAAAATGACTGTTGATAATTTGCTGTCACATGTTGAAAAATTACAAAAAACTTTTTCGCTGCCAAAAAAGGAACGTAAAACGGCATTCGAATGGATATAATAACTCAAAAATCAAACAACAAACAAAAGGAATGAAAGTAGTGGCTTAACAAAGAAGAAGTTTGTATACTCTTGCAGTGCCCATTTTATCCCATTATATAGGATGTTATATTTATGTTTGGACAGCAGAAAATTAATTTGTTTATATTTACTAATTGGTTTTTGGATTATTAGTATTTTTGTTTTTGCTTATGTGATTTGTTTTGAGAGTTCATAAAAAGAAATTCTCTATGGATCGTTGCAGTCAGAATTATTGCCTTCAATTCCGACAAATTCCCTTAGAGTTATCTTTGCATATAAATCTTAAGTTACATAAAGTTCTTGGGAAGCCTATAGTATACCTTTTTAATCCGCCTAGTTCCAGTAAATGATTTGAATATATTATAATTGAGATCATACAACTGTCAAGTTTCATTCCGATAGCCCTTAACCTCAGAGATTAATTCACATGGCAGCGAATATATAGACAGTCAGCTAGACATGGCACGATCTGAAATTGTCTGTATTGGTTGTCTCCTCGCCCGCCGTGTGAGTAACCACTGACCCAAATTACAGATAACCCCCACCTTTGGCAAAGGGTATAATACGTACAAAAGCGCTGTGAAAGTCAGTTCCAGTTTAGTTCATGTCAGTGGCAGAGCTCAGCTCAGCTCAGCTCAGCGTAGAGCTCAAGTCAGTTAAAAATGACAGACGGGCGGGCGGCAGTGGAGATGAGAGGCGAAATGAACAAAAAGAAAAAAAAAGAAGGTGAATAAAGTGCAAATGTCAGCTGACCGCAAACATCATTAATATAATTAAATGTGTCAGTCAAGCAGCCATTTATGCAGTCGGACATTCATTTCAGTTAACCACACGCTGCCGCCTGCCGTCAGTTTCAGCCACCATACGCCACCGACATAACCAACTGATGGCAGTCAGTCGGTCGGTTGGTTGTTCGTTCGTTCGGTGCTCTCTTAACTGGCAGTTAAAGTGTGCGCTTGACATAGCGACAGGGGCTCTCAGACTCCTGACTACAACGACTTCTGGCCCATTCTTTCACTACGAGAGCGTCTGTCTATCTGTCTGTGTGTCCGTTCGTCTTGTATGTCGGAGCTTTGTGTTTGCGTGTGGCTCTAATTAAAGTGTCATCAACAGCAGAAAATACCACCAGCAAAAGCAATAGCAAAACCAGCAAACAGCACACAAACAACACAACAAATGAGCAGAGCCGAGAGCAGAGTTGTTGTGTTATGCCCCAGCATGTTAGTGATAAATTGCCATGTCTAGAGCTGTCATGTTAATTTTTTGTACTCGCACACAAATAATAGTTTTTGTGCCTAAAGTGTTAATTAATTCTTGGAATATTTTAAAGACACACACAAATACACGTAAAAAAACAAAAACGAAGAAAAAAAAAGACAGCAGCATGTAGGGAAAACCACTGGATTGCTTTGCACTCTAATTGAGGTTGGGTCTGGGTTAGAGGTCACATTTTATGATGGGAATTTCTAGAAAACACGGCAAATCTGTAAAGTTTCAATGAGCTTTCGAATGAAAGGTATTTAACTAGTAGAAAATTATGGGGAATAAATTGGATTAGAGAAACAAATATTTAGATATAAAATAGAAGTACTGTGGTTAAAAAAAAATATAACTAAGTAAGAGGGTTAGAAATATTATTAAACAGAATGATGAGTAGTCAATTCAAACTCTAGAATAATGTACGGCCCATGTTGTTATTCTTTTTATTTTTTATTTATTTTATTTTTATTTTCTAAGGAGCTATATATATAATATCTCCTCGAATTAAACCTACGAACAAGACCGATTTATAAAGAACTTGTTTCTACTTTTATGTATGTACTAGATATGACTAGCAATATGTGGATGTTCTATAATCTACATAGATCTACTAAAATAACAATGACATTTGATTTTTTTTCTGCAATAAAAATTCATTCAAAATATATATAAAAAAAAATCAGTTTAATCTGCCCAAATGTCGATTGCTACCGCTTATAAAAATTCGTTATAAATACTTATATGGATTAGGCTTATTTTTATAAAAATCCCCCCGATTAACTGAAAAAAGTACTTAGCTCATGGCCCGATAAGAAATCGATTAAGAGCAGCCTTAATAAAAAAAAAAAACAACAACAACAAAAAAAGAACAGTCATCGAAGCGATATCTTGTGGTGTTCATTAAGAAATTTATTGCATTTTATGGCTGAGATCATAAATTTAACGATTCAACCAATTTCGTTAATAAGCAACTATAAATAAAATAAAGAAGAAATAAAAAAGCGAAAATAGAGAAGAAGTAAAAACCATCCATAATAATCCATCTATATTATGACGAGTATTATTGCCTGCTTTTGGAGGAGAGTACGCGTACGAATAGTACAATCGTATGGCATTTATCACTCGAGACACGAGTGCTGTTCGCCCCGTCAATCATGGGGCCCCCCACTACACCCCATCCCATTCCGATTCAATCCGATTCGATTTGAAAACCCAACC